TAACTAATCGCGCTGTAAGACAATTTCATATTGTATTCACTTTTAGTAAAACAGAGAAAAGCATATCTACCCCGACAAAAGTCACAGCTTTCCATAGTCTGACGCAAGGCTTTAGTCTCTCTTGTCTATGAGATAAAATAAATGATAATATACTGTATATCAAAGTTAGATATTTTTATACTTGTAATTCAAGCGATCGTTTTAGGTCTTTGAGAGCAAACTGGAGTTCAGAAAATGCTTTCAATATATAATCCGATTCTTTACTCTTCCCATTGATGGTATAGTAAGTCTGAGTCGGGATCTCTTTAACAGTTCGGGAAAGGAATATACGCTGGGATTGGGTTTGTGCTGACGGACACTCAACCTCATGGAGAATGCTATGAATGCCTTTTGGGTGGCACTCCACTGTCAACTTCCGATCCCTTTCCTTAATTGTTTTATCAAAACAGTCAACATTTATCAGAATAATCGTGAGAACACTTACAGCTCTGATAAGTCCACCGTCTTTTCGATATCCATTAAAGATGTTTGAGTTGAGTGTGAGGTATCCCTGAGACACACAATCTAAGAAGACCACAGTTTAATAGATTCCGGATTTTCGTGCGAATAGTCTTCATAATAAGAAACTTATGATTACTTGTTTCGTTGAGTCCCTCCAACTCCAGACTAAAGTTCCTCTCATGAGTGGGTCCTTTGAACGCCGCCTCCCTTAACGACAATTGAATGGCGGGTTTGGTTCGGTTCAGAGTTATAATCAAAAAAGAAATTTTTAAAAGTAAAATGATTTAATAGATTGAAATCATAGGAATATATAGAATATACAGCATATGAACCTGTTTTTAATGTGAACATTAAATTTCATTTGATATAATTTTATTTTCAAAATTTATTAATGTTTGGATATTTTTCAAAATTTAACCGAATATTCAGTACTAATAGCTTGTGTCCAATTAACGCAATGCTTTCACTTATAAACTACTGATTGCTTATTGATATGGGAATGCAATTTAACATTATTTTTATGGCAAACAGTTTTTAGGTTACAAATGTAATAAAAGCAAATACTGTATTATATTTAAATCACATTATTTATTTCCTATAAAAATTGTATATAAATAATATTAATATTAAAATTAATATATATTATTTATAAATTGACAAAAAGTACTACAAATCCGACCCTTTAGTCAATATCAAGTTATATTACCGTATATTATAAAATAATATAAATGGTATAAAAATGTTAGTATTTATGTTAACACTAAAAGCAGAGTTAAATGTCAGAGGGCCACGAGCATAACTCAAGTAACTGCCGGGTGTTGGCTGTCAGGTTTAGCAGAAAGTGAGCGAATATGAGAAAGTCGTTTAGAAACAGGTCTGAAAGCATAAGACTGTCGTTTAAGAGGCGAAAGATCAAATCACTCTTAAGCCGATATCCTTCCGATTCTAATGCCTTTCTGTCATCTTTTAGTCTTTCAATCATCTCTTTATTGCCGTACTTTCGCAGAATATTCTCCGTTTCCACCATTCTTTCCATACAAACAAACAATTTATTTCATTTAATAATCATTTCATATAAAACATTAACATTATATGCATTCAAATGTAGACAAAAACCTATTTCACTACGTTTCTCAGACACGAAATGAGTATACCTCTCACGTTTGGTAAAGTAGCATTAAGTCAAATTTGCCCTAGAACATAAAGCTCATCATAAACGGGTGTGAAAGGTCTATTAGTGACTTGTTGACGTCCATCGATTCAAACAGATATTCATATATACATACAATAGAAATGCAATTTACAGTCACATCACAAACAAAATCAATTCAAACAAACGTTTTGATAGATCTTGAAGTTCTTGTCCACACATTTGGACACCTCTTCAGCCTCTGTCAGTCGAGTGCTCAACACATCCAACTTGGAGGCCAACAGCGCCTGTATGTCGGTGTCGCTCATGTGATCGGTGTCCACGTCCTGACCGCTCATCAGTTGCAAAGCGTTAACGCATTTCTCTTTGAGTGTTTGGTAGAGCTCTTTGTGGACGACCTCCGCATTGAACTCAGTCTTCAGAGCAGTCCACTTGTATTTGTCCACCAGTTTATAGATGTCTTCATTTCGGTGCTTCAGTCCAGTCAACGACAACGTCCTCTGAAAGTCCTTATCCTAAACGTTACCATAAGACAAGGCATTCAATGGCCGACAATACAGTGAAACAACGCTTACTTTAATTTGCGTACAAATGGTGTAAAGGATTTGATATTTGGTTTCAATTAACTTCATCTTTGAATCGTCGGAAACGCTCTGCAAAGACATCAATACATCAATACATCCAACCATTCATTAGTTGCACTCATATTTCAATGCAATTCAATGAAAGCGTGAATTGATTACCATTTTGTGCGACAATTAATGCACTGTTTTGTTGACAACTGTCACTAAATTGCGGTTTAATTCACAACTGATTATGAAATGCTTTTCAATTGAATGCCAAATACAACAACACAAACATCTATTGAATCATAAATAACGTGCGATTATTGCCACAAATAAAGCACTGATTTGTGTGTGAATTGTGGGCTAAACTGAAAACGTTTTATACTTTCAATGGTTTTATAAGTTTGCGCCAAAATAATCAAAATCAAAATCATTCATAGATGTGGTTACTTATTGGAGGGGGTGGGGTGGCATATGTAGCTATCATAGCCTATGATTCATAGGAATCAAAAAGCAACTAGCTCAATTAGTTGATAAAACTGAATTCATTGTAAATTATAACTACAGCTATTATATAAATATGATTAAATTAAAGTGATTAAGAGATTTCTGAATTTAATAATTATTATAAACCAAACGAAATTAATTAATTATATTATATTATATAATATATTAATTATTTTAATTATTACAAATTCGTTAGTGAACAATTTAATCGACTGAGTTTTAGATTTACATTAAATTAGTTGTGAATAAATGTCAATCAAACCATTTATTCAAAAGCTAATCTCATTTGTAACATAAAAATCCCTTTTATACGGCTTTTGAAAACATTATTACTATTTATTTAATATACAAATATCTCAAACCGATAGCGAATTCTACAAGGAATGAGTGTTTGTGTGCTTTTAGTATAGGAATAGCATCTAATTCTCAAAGTTAAATACGGCTTTTGAAAACATTATTACTATTTATTTAATATACAAATATCTCAAACCGATAGCGAATTCTACAAGGAATGAGTGTTTGTGTGCTTTTAGTATAGGAATAGCATCTAATTCTCAAAGTTAACGACTTTTCAAACGATTTGTTTGTTTATATGAATCTATAATTTGTGAAATTAAATGAAAACTTCAGAGAACTTGTGTAACACTAACCTTGAGGCCTGTGTTCGAGAGATATGTGTTTGAAATTTATTAGTATTTATTAGAAGTTATATTTTGTCCCAATTCTCAAGTGATGACAAATTAACCGAAAAACACATGTTATGTGCAATAAATCTAAAGTTTTTTATAAGAAATAGTTTTATTGCCTCGATATTCATTCATCAAATCATTAGTCTTTTTTTCTCAATGTTTTACATGTTTTCCATGCAATTACAGAATAATCTTATAAAACAATGAATAAATAAACAAATATAGGCCTAAAATTATTTATAAACTCCTGTGACGGAAAGGGTATGCCTTTCCATTAATAAATTCATATTTTAAATAAACAAACAGTAAGAATGTAGATGATCAAGGTGTTTGCTTCAGTGCATTCACATTTTGCTATGTGGGTTAACGTAGTGATAAAATCGTGAATATTCATTGAATCGTGAATTCTGCAAAGAATGACAGAAAAAGATTTTTTTCTAAGAATTTGCAAAGAGTTCATAAAATATATCAATAATTTTCAAATAAGATTAGAGAATATTTGTGTTAAATATAAATCATATCCAAATTCTTCATTTACATGTGTTTATTAAAGTATTGTTTTCAATAAAATCTCTTTAATTAAGTTTTGAGTGATTTCATTAAATGAATGGTTTGAATGGGTTTTAATATTTATTTATGTTTATTGGGATTGACTGCACCAAGACATTGATCCAAATTTATGCAAATAATAATAATAATAAAAGTCTGCGAGAATTAATTGATGACTATATGTGTCGTCAATTATCGTTTCTAACATTTGGATCAGAATTGATGTCATTTTTTATGCTGTATTCTCAGAAGGACTTTACCATTGGTTTAAAGATTTGCAACATTTCTGCCTTCACTTCTCCAGACTTCTCGCGAAAACTATATTATTTAATACGAAAGGAGACATAACTTTATTTATATGACATGAGGTCATGGATTGGGAATGAGAACTGAGATAAAAGCAATGTTTGCACCGCTTTTTCATGATAACTCTCTCTCTCTCTCTCTTTATTCAGAGATAAAAATTGAATCAACTTTTTCATTAAGGAATTTGTGAACACTTTTTGTTTTGTTAATGAATAATAACATTTAAAGACAAGAATTTTGTGTTCATTAAGTATAATACTTATTATAAAAATGCGTTTACTTTTAATACTAATTTGTTTAAGTGGTGTCTATTCAGCGCTTATTTATGACGCGAGTAATCAGTAATTCTCACATCTTTTTCAAATGGTTCATGTTTTGTTTATAATACACTTTAATTGATGCAAAAATTTGTTCCCAATTTCCAGAATTGACTCAAGACTTGCAGAATGCTATCGACTCGTCAAAGGATTTCAGTATTTTGTTTCGCGAACTCAAACCCCGACGAAGACTCACCGAACAGCCCATCGTTGAGATCCGAAATCTGGCCAATCATTTGATTATAACTCTGAACCGAACCAAACCCGCCATTCAATTGTCGTTAAGGGAGGCGGCGTTCAAAGGACCCACTCATGAGAGGAACTTTAGTCTGGAGTTGGAGGGACTCAACGAAACAAGTAATTATAAGTTTCTTATTATGCATTTCGAAGACTATTCGCACGAAAATCCGGAATCTATTAAACAGCGTCTGTGGGTCTTCTTAGATTGTGTGTCTCAGGGATACCTCACACTCAACTCAAACATCTTTAATGGATATCGAAAAGACGGTGGACTCATCAGAGCTGTAAGTGTTCTCACGATTATTCTGATAAATGTTGACTGTTTTGATAAAACAATTAAGGAAAGGGATCGGAAGTTGACAGTGGAGTGCCATCCAAAAGGCATTCATAGCATTCTCCATGAGGTTGAGTGTCCGTCAGCACAAACCCAATCCCAGCGTATATTCCTTTCCCGAACTGTTAAAGAGATTCCGACTCAGACTTACTATACAATCAATGGAAAGAGTAAAGAATCGGATTATATATTGAAAGCATTTTCTGAACTCCAGTTTGCTCTCAAAGATCTAAAACGATCGCTTGAATTACAAGTATAAAAATATCTAACTTTGACAGACAGTATACTTACCATTTATTTTATCTCAAAGACAAGAGAGACTAAAGCCTTGCGTCAGACTATGGAAAGCTGTGACTTTTGTCGGGGTAGATATGCTTTTCTCTGTTTTACTAAAAGTGAATACAATATGAAATTGTCTTACAGCGCGATTAGTTACTGGTTGTGCCACTAAACCATGCTATTCAGGCGTTAGTTGTCTTGATTTGCCAAATGGTAGCTTTAGATGCAGTGCCTGTCCTAAGGGGATGACTGGCGATGGAATTGAATGCCAGAGATTGACCACTTGTAACGACAGGCCGTGCTTTCAAGGGGCCCAATGTATTGATGATGAGGCACAAGGTTTCCGATGTGGTCCCTGTCCTGTGGGTTATAAAGGCAATGGTTTAACCTGTTCTCCAGCTATTCGATGTTCAGACAATCCGTGTTATACTGGAGTCAATTGTGTCAATTATGACAAACCTCCCGGTTATAGATGTGGAGCCTGTCCTCAAGGCCTCACAGGAAACGGAGTCACATGTACTGACATCGATGAGTGCGAATTGTCCCGACCCTGTAACCAACACTCTCAATGCATAAACCTGACCCCAGGATTCAGGTGTGGGCCCTGTCCTATAGGCTATACCGGCAGACAGATTCAAGGAATTGGAGTAGAATTTGCGAGGGCTAACAAACAGGTACTACACTCCACGGATATATTAAAGACTTTTAATTGAATATTGGTTTATTTTAACTTTTGATCTAAAAGTTATGTCTGGATGTGAATGAGTGCGATGACGGCAGAAACGGAGGCTGTGTTGAGAACTCGCAGTGCATTAACACTCAGGGCTCGTATGTCTGCGGCGAATGCATTGAAGGCTTTGTAGGCAATCAAACTGCTGGCTGTCATCCCCATCCGGGCACGTGTCCCGACGGAACCATTTGTGATGGAAATGCTGAGTGTGTTATCAGAAGAGGGTATTCGCGATATCAGTGCCGATGCAAAGTTGGGTTCGCAGGCGATGGAAGGATTTGCGGTCTCGACAGTGATTTAGATGGTTGGCCCGATCACAACCTTAGGTGCTCTGACCCTCGATGTATTGCGGTTTGTATTAAAATCAGCTTAAATTATGACACTCTTATAAAACGATCACAAACTTTAGGATAACTGCCCACTAATTCCCAACAGCGGACAAGAAGATGCGGACAGGGATTTGATTGGCGACGCTTGTGATGAGGACGCAGATAATGATGGCATTATTAACGATCCAGTATTTGAATGCTTTAAATTTGTTTTCTAAGCATTTCTAATATATTGATCTGAATGATAGGACAACTGTCCACTCGTGAGTAATCCTAATCAAGAAGATTCTGATGCTGATGGACCCGATACTCTGGGAAATGCTTGTGAATCAAACTGCTGGCTGTCATCCCCATCCGGGCACGTGTCCCGACGGAACCATTTGTGATGGAAATGCTGAGTGTGTTATCAGAAGAGGGTATTCGCGATATCAGTGCCGATGCAAAGTTGGGTTCGCTGGCGATGGAAGGATTTGCGGTCTCGACAGTGATTTAGATGGTTGGCCCGATCACAACCTTAGGTGCTCTGACCCTCGATGTATTGCGGTTTGTATTAAAATCAGCTTAAATTATGGCACTCTCATAAAACAATCACAACCTTTAGGATAACTGCCCACTAATTCCCAACAGCGGACAAGAAGATGCGGACAGGGATTTGATTGGCGACGCCTGTGATGAGGACGCAGATAATGATGGCATTATTAACGATCCAGTATTTGAATGAAATTTAAACAAAAGATTCGTAAAGATTATATAACTAGACTTACTATCCTGTTGACAGGTGAGCACTCATTAGGATTAGTTCTTCTAAGACTACGACTACCTGGGCTATGAGACCCTTTACGAACACACAACTGCCCAACCATTTCAAATACGGATCAACTCGACTCAGATGGTGATGGTTTGGGAGATCTCTGCGATCCTGACGCTGATAATGATGGAGTGATTAACAGTCAGGACAACTGTCCTTTAGTGGCTAATAGTGACCAATTGGATAGAGATGGAGATGGAGTGGGAGACAAATGTGACAATTGTCCGCTTCATGCAAATTCAAACCAAAAGGATTCAGACAAAGATCTTGTGGGAGATGTTTGTGATACCAATTATGACAGGTTTTCATATTTCAATTATAATTTTAATTTGCAATTCCTATGAACTAATCATAGACTATTACCAACTTTATAATTGCTAATATGAACTAACTTCAAATTCTGTAATAATACATTACTGGTATTACAATATAACATTTGTCACAATAACATATCGCTTTTTAAGGATAATTTAATTTTTAGTTCAAACTATTTTTATAAGTCAATTAGGAAATACCTAAATATAATTTTAATTTAAATAATCAGAGATTTGGATGGAATTCAAGATAATGTGGATAACTGCCCGGGTATTAAAATTATAAGAAATTGTTTGTTTCAAACTGTAAGAGATTTTGATTTCCATTAGAAATTCCAAACAGCGATCAATTGGATTCAGATGAAGACGGGTTGGGTATGAAAATTATTTTCATACCTATTAAAATGAATATTTATTTGAAAGTTACTTCACAGGAGATGTTTGTGACTTTGATAAGGATAATGATGGAATTAAAGACAATTTAGACAACTGTCCATTAGGTTAGTTTTCACCTATGTTATAACTTATAATATAGCTTGACAGTAACTTATAATAACTAGCTAGTGCAAAACTTATATATTTCTGAATCAAAATTATAGTCTATAATCCGGATCAAAGAGATACTAATAATACGGGAGTAGGCGATGCCTGTCGGGGAGATTTTGACGGCGACGGAGTGCCTGATAATTTAGATGTCTGTCCCGACAATAGAAAAGTATACGCCACTGACTTCAGAGCTTACCAGACAGTGGTATTAGATCCCGAGGGAGACTCACAGATAGACCCGCATTGGGTTATCTATAATAAGGGCGCAGAAGTGGTGCAGACGATGAACAGCGATCCGGGTCTCGCTGTGGGCTTCCATTCGTTCGGTGGCGTCGACTTCGAGGGCACGTTCTTCGTGGACACCGAGATAGACGACGACTACGTGGGCTTTGTGTTCAGTTACCAGGATAACGCACACTTCTATACTGTCATGTGGAAGAAGAACACCCAGACCTACTGGCAGGCCACACCTTTCAGGGCAGTGGCTGAGCCGGGAATACAACTCAAACTGGTCACATCCCAGACTGGACCCGGACAGATGCTCAGGAACTCCCTCTGGCACACCGGCAACACTTCAGATCAGGTCAAGTTGTTATGGCGCGACCCTAGAAACGTGGGCTGGAAGGAGAGGGTGGCCTACAGATGGCTTATGATTCATAGACCTAAGATTGGTCTCATTAGGTACTGAATGTTTGGTTTTCAATNAGTATCAGTCGAAACGACTACTCTATTGAACGAATTGACCACAAAATCCGAGATTCGTGTGGAGACTGTTGAACCAAAGCCAGAAACTGTTACGACTGAGAAGATTACATTTGAAACAAAACCAGTTATAATCACGACTGAGAATATTATTCTCGAGTCGAGCCCAAATGTATTGACAACAATACCACCCGATTCTGTGACTTTGAAATCAGAGACAACTGTTCCATCAGTTGAAGAGGTGACTAAAGAAGTAACAAAACCTGAAGAACCAAAAGAAATCATAAAACCTGAAGAACCAAAAGAAGTCACAAATTTGGTAACAACTGAAAAAATTACCGAAAGTCCACAAACAGAGGCTATTGTAAGAGATGTTCCGTCAGAAACAACACCTCAACCAATATCTGTGACCTCAGAAGCTAACAAAGTGGAAGAAACAACAGCTAAAGTAGAAGATGTCGATAAGAATGAAGTGAAACCAAGTGAATCGTCTATATCTTCAGAACCAATGGTAGATGTGGTGACAGCCGATCCAACTATTATTAAATCTGATGACCTCTTAAAGGAAAACAGTTCGGAACCCATTAATCCGGAAAGCATTACAACAAAATCAAGTTTAGATGAAAAAGTCAACGAAATGACTACAACTAAAGAACCTTCAATAGAAACAACAGTCGCTATAGAAGTCGGAGGTATTGAAGATGTCGTTACCACGACTCCTAAGGTAGTTATGAACGAAGAATTGTCTCCTATTGTGACCACTGAAGCCATAAAGTCAGACGAAATGAAGACAACAATTATTAGTGAAGTAAGCGTTAGTACGGAAGAAGTGAAGATAGAAGAGGAACCCAAACGTGAAGAAGTCGTAACAGAAATGAAGGGAAGTTCCGAAATGACGACAACTGTGGCCTCAGTATTAAGTAATGAGGTTTCGAGTGAAGCAAATGTTGACTCAAATGTAAGCGAAGACACTGTCATCTCAACCACTGAAGAGACTGTTAAGTCGAGTTCGGAAACGATTATAACTTCAGAAGTAGTGCCTATAAAAGCCATATCAACGGAAGCGACCACTTCTTCGCCGGTCATCAGCGAAGAGCCAAAATCTGAGACGACGACAATCGCTGATATAAAAAGCGATTTAAACATTGTTGAGATCAATAAAACTGAGAGTCCATTGGATTTAAACACTGAGACAACGAATTTACAAACGGATAAGGAATCGGTTGTTACGAAAGACTTAGACATTGAATCCATTACAACGACATTGAGTTCTTCAATCACTGAATAGTTAGTTTTAGCCACAATTGTATAAAAATCAGACAAAAACACATGAAACAAATCTACAAAAAAATCTGTAAAATTTAAAGTAATTTTAATTATGGCTCAAAAGTCAATCAATTCATTGCATACTAAATATTTGGTTTTGACAAAAAATGTAATTAAAAACAAACCTCTTTTTAATTAATAAAATGATTAAATTATTTTTAACTTTAAACAACAAGAATATGTATTTATTAATCAAATGATTAGAGCCATTAGAGCTTAAACTAACGATAAGTAGAAATGCATTTAAAAGCCATTATTTTACTTGAAATCTTGTGAGAATAGAAGTGATTCTCATATTTCTTGCATTATTTCTTTGATCCGCGAAAACCATTTTTGGTGATAAAAGTGGGTGAAGAGGATTCAGCCCTTCGACGGCCCACTTGAACGATGTCTGACGCTCTGGTTGTGTCCAATTCAACCTCATTCT